CGGGCTGCAATTTGAGATTGGTCAATCACATAATGACCGCAAGCGTTTCAAAACGCTCCGTATATTTCCAACGCATTGGCCTCGAAGATGAGTGGAAGCCGTTCTGCTTTGGAGCTGATCTGACTGTGTTAGTAAGGCAAAGATTGCGATACTGATGAGCCCTCCCACCCTCTGAATGATTGTATTGTTAATTGGTTTTTCAAAGTATTGTAAACTGACTGATGTATTTGAACTAAGAAAAGGAATGTTGGCTATAGTGCAAGTAAATGACCCCACCTAGAGCCTCACTACAAATTCTACCAACAAAAAGTTGATGCAGGCCTTGAAATTGGTAGCTGACATGGGATCCCTTCAGATCGAGAACTTCTGCGTAAATGTTGAAACTGTTAACAAGAGATGGAAAAGCATAATTAGTAAAAACAGGCGCCCCACATATGAGCCCAAATTGTTTGAAACTGGCTGATTATCTGAAACGATCTGACCTTTGATACATCAATAGCAGGTATAAATGAACCCCTTTTTCCAGCACCGTGATGCCCACGAGTGCACGTGGTTTCCTGAAACATTACGGCAACGGTCACTGATAGACCTTGTCATAGTGACCTATCTTCCACGAGGCTACATATTCTGCTGAAAATAAGGAACGGAACTGCCAACAGATAACCAGCTACTTTTCTGCAAACCGACCCATTCAAAATTCAGTACAACTCGCCAGAGCGGTGGACCGACATTTATATGCCGGATGAAGTCGGCAGCCCCAGTAGATGAAGGTGCGATGGAAAGGTTTTCTGATGACGTGTCAGCGATATTGAGTCAGATACGCACTCATGCTTCAGAACGAGACGGAATAAGAGCCGTCTTGACATACCTTATTGTAGGCTGAAGCGGTTTGGTGTCGCGACTCCTTGTTGTAAATACAAGACACCGTCAGAACGAGCGAAAAGATTTATTTGAGAGCAAGCCCTCGCGTCTTTGCGTATTCAGTACACTGAAGCTCTTGAAATTGCAGCGCAAGCAGTGGAAACTACAAAAGTAAGGGGTTAGGAATCATGCAAAAAAAGACTCAGTTCTGACAACAGATCAGCAGACTGTGTGTTTTGGCAGACCATTAGCCAACGGCATGGGCAAAGATCAGATATTGCCACAGTTGAAGAGTTCTGAAGGAGACATTCTAACGACGAAATGATCATCAACAGATAGAAGGGAATAATTCATATCTGCCCAATTCAGTCTGTGAAGACGCTGACGATTGTTCAAGCTGCATTTCTGGACAGAAAGTATAATTTAACAGTGACTGAAATGGCAGCTGTTATTAAATCGTTCAAAGGTGGCAAAGCTGGCGAGAAAAACGAAATTTGACCTGAAATTATGAAAGCCTTGAATCGTAATGGTACTTTATTTCTGACGTCGGTATGCAGTTTGCCTGAAATCATAGAAAAGCACAGTAGTAATGGGAATTAACGCGGTGTGACTATTCGCTTGTTCAGAAGTAGAACAAAGGGACAGCAGAAACTTCCGAGTCAGCACCATGCATCATAGCGTAATTACTCTCATATTAAACAAGAATAGCAGCTGACTGATCCAGCTATCATTTTATCACGCTATCACAAACTCAAAAGAAAGGACTCTCATATATTAGCCGGGTAAACTGCGAAATAGAGTTGACGGTCGACTTTGCCTCAATCAGGTGAGCTTTCACACAGTTGATTCCTACTTTGGTATTTTGGTCATCTTTGTCACTCTTCTTAAAACAACAGATCTACGCAGACAACGTCAGTTGCTTTTGTATGGCACTTTCATCTGTTTGGTAGCTGCTAATGATTCGATCCAGCGTTTAACCATGTGTAAATTCTTAAAGCAGCATGAAATATCTTAATAGATCTAAATATCTTATCACATTTTGGAAGATATATGTTCAGGAATCAGCTATCTTTTAAAGTTGATGGGGTGGCTTTCTAAGTGGCTAACTGCTAATTGCGGATTCTGCCAGGCGAATCTTTACTTTGCCTTCATTGTGCTCGACTTTAACCTTCCCAAAGGAGTTGGTCTGGGTGAAGACTAAGGTTTCATTCTAGAATGGCGAGTCAGATAATATTACTCTGATGATGAGGTTCGCAACCAGTTTCAGCGTATTCCGTATAAAACACGACTACGAATTCTTAACGTCAAAAAGTCAAAAGTTATAAGGGTAATCCGACACAACTGTTTCGCGAGTGCAATAAGAGAGAAATAGTCCAGGAGGTTAAGCAATTCAAGTAGCTCTGCCATATAATCCCCAGCGACGATAGTAGTTAATTATTGCTAAATATATAACTTATCCTTACCTCTAGTGCATTTGACAGACTATCCGACATTTTGGCTGAAGACGAAATATCCGTTGCTTCAAAAA